TGTATGCCACTATGATTCTTAAATCTCTCAAACCAACCTCTGCTGGCCTTAAATTCACCAATATGAGCACTAGTTCCAGGCATTTTTTCCTGTTCACCTGGGTGTAAGTCGATTGGTGTGGGTCGCATCCTGGGAGACAAGATTAACTCCTTGACTGTTGCAACCCCCAATCCTGAGATGTCTCCTGGTGTCGCAAAATTTAAAAAAAAAAAAAAAAAAAGAATTATTTTTTCTTGTGAAATGATAATCTTTTCCCGATTGTAATGACACCAAAAAAAACGAAATTTGATGGAAAACTCAGGGAATTACGCTCTCGCGAAGTTAGCGACCTTGGCGATATTTACAAATAGGCGATTTTGCCCACTTTGAGCCCTATTTTCGGCTAATTCCATTGTTCCAGTCAACCTAACTCATAGCTATTCCTTTAGAACTCCATTTTTTCTATCGATTGAGTGCAAGAAACTGCCCATTTACCGATTTCAACTACCCAATAACATAGTCAGAAATTTGCAATTTGCCCAATTTTACGAAAATGAAAAAATATGACAATTTCAAAATAAGGTCCAGAATGAACAATGCAGACATTCCTGGCTCTAAAATAACATTTTCTTTGTTCATCAGTCACATCTGTAGGCCCCTCTAATATTACTCCTGCTTTCTATTTTGAATTTTTATTCAAACAATATATAGAAGATTTACTGTTATGCAGACTACTGCAATACTGTAATAATTGTACAAATAATGTCAACCCATTCATGACTGCATATTAGAATGGCTAGTTGGACATTTATTGGACAAAGACATCATTTGTTTACTTTTGAACATCGGCAAAAATCAAACATTTCCCCTACTTTGAGCTCCATTTCCAGATTTTTTTTATAGTAAAACCAATCAAAATCACCTCTATTTCTATAATATATTTTCCATTCTATCAAATGAGATCAAAGAAACGAGAATACAACCATAAATAATATACGAAAATAGACCACAAAGTCGGCATTTTAATTAAAAAAAGGTCGGAGTTTTTTTTTTTCTCATTATGCACTGCGTGCTCCAGGATTTTTTTTTATATGGTGCACACTGACCACAAAGACTCATTCTCTCACATGTGGGCCTACCAGCTTTCTCCTGCTTGATTTGAAGCTGCTAGAATTTATGAGTATATATACGTCAAACACGGTACCTCGTAAGACATATATGTACGACCAAAACAGTCAAAGGGTTAAGGACCTCAGTGGAAAAAGTTAGACAGTCCTCGATGACACACTGACTTTCTTTGGTTATCCTGGGTGGCTAACCCTCTGGGGTTAATTGTTTCTCGGTATTCTCGATAAGCCACACCGGCAACGGTGCTACAGCAGCAGCAGCTGACCGTGATGCAGCAGCAGCTCACCGTGGTGCAGCAGCAGCCGACAGTGATACAACAGCAGCAGCAGCTGACCATGGTGCAGCAGCAGCTGATGGTGCTATAGCAGCAGCAGCAGCTGATGGTGCTACAGCAGCAGCAGCAGCTGGCCATGGTATGATAGTACGTATTTCGATAGTATTTCTCACCCTTTTTACAACAGGGTTGGCACTAGAAGCTTTCTTTGAGCTTATGGTGGCTTATTTAGCAGTTAGAAGCACTAAAAACAATGGGATAATACAAAATATTCCGAATGTATGCTTGGGAGCAACTGCTCTGGCTTGTAAACACTGACACACTGAGGGCAGGCCAGCTGAGGCACACTCAGGCGGACAGACATATAGACAGGTACCTGACGAATGGTGTAGTTCGTTTTTCAACGTACATCGGGGTCAGATTTTTACGCTGAAACGCATTGTAGGTCGGTTTTAATGTAGGTTGGGGACATCGTACGTCGGGGGGTCCACTGTATGTACTTGGATTAAGAGCCCTTCAACATCAAGGCACCTTCCTTGAAAGTAATTTTTTTGTCGACTTCGTTGCACCTCAGGGAAGGAAACCTTAGTTTTCATCCTTCAGAATCCTTGAGGTACCAGTAAAATGTGAGATCCAGCTTATCATCATGCAGATCACTAAATCCAGCAGTACAAGATGTTAGTTAACTATCAAAAAAGCTTAGAAGTGAGAATAATCTTACATATGTACACATGTTGTACATACATTGATCAATGTGGGTGTGAGGGTTGAATTTGAGAAGGTGGGTGTGAGAGTGAATGTGAAAGAGAGGGCAGGCAAACGTGAGAGGATTAGTGGAGTGGTGGGTGAATGTGAGAGAATGGATATGAGTAAGGGTGAATGTGAGAGGATGAGTGGAGTGGTGGGTAAATGTGAGAGGATAAATATGAGGTTGTATATAGGTAAGGATGAATATGAGAGGATGAGTGGAGTGGTGGGTAAATGTGAGAAGATGAATATGGGTAAGGGTGAATATGAGAGGGTGGGTGGACATGGGTGTGTGTGCACTGTAGTGTGTGAAGTTAGTGGAGACAGCGGCAGATGAAGGGTGCTGCATCTCAGTTACTGATTGAACAAGTCGTGAACAGGAACATCACTTCTGGGCTCCCACACCCACCCACCTCCCTGACATACCATCATCATCCCTCCACCTGAGCTCGGCCACCCAACTACAGGTGTAACTTAAATATTTGAAGGGAGAGAGGTGATGAAGGCACACATCCACCATTCTTTGCCTTCCTCCTTGTCTCTCGACCAACACCCAAGTGCCCTTTTCATCTTCCCTCAGTAGGGCAGCTAGGGCTGGAGCCACCCTCATTGGCTCAATGGTTATCCGAACACCCATCCTTGTTTCCTTTCCTTTCCCACCTGACAGTCAATCATAAGCTAACACAACATAAATAATAAATCTATAGTTCTTCCCAATGTTTAAAAGATATATGTAAGCTCTTTATACATGCATACAAGATACATACACAAAGTAAGAATTCATATCATGATTTGAATAGTGTCACCACTGGCACAGTCTTCCTTGTTTTGAAAGTGCTCATTAATAAAAACATGCTAACAGACAAAATTCATAATTAGACTTTTTTTCAATTTTGTCTGAATCTTCTATTTGGCCTATTTTTTTTTTTTTTTATAAAAATTTTCCAAAATCCATTAGAGGTCCCTAAGTGAGACATTTTACTGTATTTTTACATATGAATTTTGAACTGGAGCACAATTGTTAGTTACAACAGCTTGGGTGAGTAAACTGTTTCATAGGTTTATCACTCTCAAGGAGAATAAGAATTAACAATTTTCTGTCCTGCATTACAGTTCGGTGAGCTTGTAGTAGGAGTCTGGGGTTATATTTATTATCCAACTTTTGTAATAATACATAATTAAAATTTTCCTCTCAATAACCTGTCTAATCTTTAGTGTGTATGATAGTGACTCTTTGTTCTTGACAATATTTTGTCACATGTAAACTACACTTTGTATACTACACAAAGAAATAAAGTTGTTTGTTTGTTTGTTACAAGTGTTATTTCTTAGTTTTGTGTGTGTGTACTCACCTAATTGTGGTTGCAGGGGTCGAGACTTGGCTCCTGGCCCCGCCTCTTTACTGATCACTACTAGGTCCTCTCTCTGCTTCCTGAGCTTTGTCATACCTCATCTTAAAGCTATATATGGTTCCTGCCTCCACTCGCCTAGTTGAGGTTGCAGGGGCCGATTCCAAGCTCTTGGCCCCTCCTCTGGGTCACTCTCCCTGAACCATGAGCTTTATCATACCTCTGCTTAAAGCTATGTATGGATCCTGCCTCCACTACATCGCTTCCCAAACTATTCCACTTCCTGACTACTCTGTGGCTGAAGAAATACTTCCTAACATCCCTGTGATTCATCTGTGTCTTCAACTTCCAACTGTGTCCCCTTGTTGCTGTGCCCCATCTCTGGAACATCCTGTCTTTGTCCACCTTGTCAATTCCTCTCGGTATTTTGTATGTCGTTATCATGTCCCCCCTATCTCTCCAGTCCTCCAGTGTCGTCAGGTTGATTTCCCTTAACCTCTCCTCGTAGGACATACCTCTTAGCTTTGGAACTAGTCTTGTTGCAAACCTTTGCACTTTCTCTACTTTCCTTACGTGCTCTTGGCTAGGTGTGGGTTCCAAACTGGTGCTGCATACTCCAATATGGGCCTAACGTACACGGTGTACAGGGTCCTGAACGATTCCTTATTAAGATGTCGGAATGCTGTTCTGAGGTTTGCTAGGTGCCCATATGCTGCAGCAGTTATTTGATTGATGTGCGCTTCAGGAGATGTGCCTGGTGTTATACTCGCCCCAAGATCTTTTTCCTTGAGTGAGGTTTGTAGTCTCCAGCCCCCTAGACTGTACTCCATCTGCGGTCTTCTTTGCCCTTCCCCAATCTTCATGACTTTGCACTTGGTAGGGTTGAACTCCAGGAGCCAATCAACTTCACGTCATCTGCAAACAGGGACACCTCAGAGTCAATTCTTTCCGTCATGTCGTTCACAAATACCAGAAACAGCACTGGTCCTAGGACTGACCCCTGTGGGACCCCGCTGGTCACAGGTGCCCACTCTGACACCTCACCACGTACCATGACTCGCTGCTAGGCTATTCCACTTCCTGACAACTCTATGACTGAAGAAATACTTCCTAACATCCCTGTGTGTGTGTGTTTCTGTAGTCGAGGTATAAGTAAGGGATTCATAAAACTGTATGAAAGTTTTCTCATTGTTCTGTATTCAAAGTATATATTTGATTGCTCTTTCAAATTCAGAATCTTTATATCTTTTATGCAGTTTACAGATAATGTAATTTACATGTAATAAAATATTAGTAGACATAAAAGAAAGCCACTAGTATACACCAAAATTTAATTTTCCAGTGAATGGATATGAACCTCAGTTGAATAACTCCATCAGGGTTGGCATACAACTACTGGCAATTGTTTTGACCTTAATACTCCCATTTTGCAACCATTCCAATCATTTACATTCATAACTTAAAATGTATACTGTTCATTAATGAGCTTTGATAAATGCTCAAATTCTCATTCATTTTTTCAGGAGCTTCTTCGTATGATACTGCAGCTTCATTCAGCTTCAAGAAGTGTTTTTGCAATGTTCACTATAAACAGCACACAAGTCTTTTCCGGTCTTAAGTGTGAGGGCAATCGCATTCATGTGCCTTCTCTTAAACAACTTAATCCTTCTTCACAAACTCGGGCTGTGCCTGTAAGTCCTTTGCCAAATTGATTACCTCATCAAAAAGTTTGTGTTATGCTGTTAGTATTATTATTTATTTTTATTACTATGCTTATCAGGTGTTAATAGGTTGAATAACTTATAATCTAGTTTATTTTTGGTTATTTGTTTCTTAGAGAATGTTTTGAATGCTTGCTTGTATTAACTTGAAGCTTTAAAATTTCAAGTATGTTCATTAAATAAAGTATTGAAATAGGGCAGTGGAGCCCACTTGATTTTTTTAAAAACAGTCAGTGATTGTACTTGAACTGTACAAAAGTTGAATTATGGAGAAAATGTTGACTTTGCCTTCAAAATTTTTATAAACCTGACACTACCACCTACACCCTCATGCTACCTTGTTGTTTCCAGCCTCCAACCCCCGATCACCTCTCCACTGCCCAGAATCCTCCAGCTCCTCCCTCCACCACTCCATTTCTCAGTCTACCCCTCCCAGGCCAGCAGTCCCCCAATTTTCCCCACACTGAACACCCTCTCCACAACCTCTCCAAACTATCCTGCCTAACGAATCCCATGTACACCTGCACACTCCAATCACTAACCCCTCCTTTATAACCCCATTCAGTTGCAAAGGGTTGCACAACCAAACAGTAAAGCACCTCCTTTTGTTAGCATGGATGTGGATACCAGATCTTAGACTGATACACATCACTATATCGATCTACAATTCTATTATCATAATATTTTACAAATTAAAGACCTAAAATTTGGAGGGAGGGAGGTGTAAGGTACATAACTCTATTTTTCCTACATGTTTTTTTAGTTCATTTTACAGTTTATTACACACCATTTTCAGGAAAGTAACTACTGCATTAACAGACAGTCAGTTGAATATCCCATTTATCCTCCTTCCCTGTAATGAATACCCAGTAGCCCCTATGTGATGTCTAGACCCAGGCACACATTACAGATCTGTTTTGAACTTGTGACCTTGCATTACATTATTATTACATTCTTGGGAAGTGCTAAACCCATAGGGGTCATATAGTGCCTGAGGGAATGGGAAGCATTCATTTCATCCAAGGAAGGGGAAGGCAGATTCAGTTCCTTGGATTAAGAACTCACTGGCATCCAGGAGCCTTCCTTGAGGGGACATCTGACCATACATGTTTCCCTGTCTTTCCTTTCACCTTCCCTCATGCTATCTACCACGAGTCCATATGTCAGTATAAACCTATTACCATCCTTCTCTTTCATCCCTTTCTTTCACTTCATCCCTCCTTTCCTTCCATCTTTTTTCTGCCTCTCACAATTTTTATTTCCTCCATATTCCCTCCTTCCTTTCTTCCCTCTCTGTCTCTCCCTCTCCATCTCAAAAAAAAATTCTGAACCCCTGCCTCCTTTCTTTCCCTCTCTCTGCTCATTAAAAAACTATCAGTACAGTATATATGGCCATTTGTTGTTTAGTTTATAAAATTTATATTTATTGCTTTAAATAGTCTTATCAGTATTTGTTTTTTATTTTATTAACACATCAGCAAGTATATGTTGCAAGTATATGGAATAGGTGGTAAGTTACTAAATGCTGTAAAGAGTTTTTATGAGGATAGTGAGGCTCAGGTTAGGGTGTGTAGAAGAGAGGGAGACTACTTCCCGGTAAAAGTAGGTCTTAGACAGGGATGTGTAATGTCACCATAGTTGTTTAATATATTTATAGATGGGGTTGTAAAAGAAGTAAATGCTTGGGTGTTCGGGAGAGGGGTGGGATTAAATTATGGGAATCAAATACAAAATGGGAATTGACACAGTTACTTTTTGCTGATGATACTGTGCTTATGGGAGATTCTAAGGAAAAATTGCAAAGGTTAGTGGATGAGTTTGGGAGTGTGTGTAAAGGTAGAAAGTTGAAAGTGAACATAGAAAAGAGTAAGGTGATGAGGGTATCAAATGATTTAGATAAAGAAAAATTGGATATCAAATTGGGGAGGAGGAGTATGGAAGTGAATGTTTTCAGATACTGTACTTGGGAGTTGACGTGTCAGCGGATGGATTTATGAAGGATGAGGTTAATCATAGAATTGATGAGGGAAAAAAGATGAGTGGTGCGTTGAGGTATATGTGGAGTCAAAAATGTTATCTATGGAGGCAAAGAAGAGAATGTATGAAAGTATAGTAGTACCAACACTCTTATATGGGTGTGAAGCTTGGGTGGTAAATGCAGCAGCGAGGAGACGGTTGGAGGCAGTGGAGATGTCCTGTCTAAAGGCAATGTGTGGTGTAAATATTATGCAGAAAATTCGGAGTGTGGAAATTAGGAGAAGGTGTGGAGTTAATAAAAGTATTAGTCAGAGGGGTTGAGGTGGTTTGGTCATTTAGAGAGAATGGATCAAAGTAGAATGACATGGAGAGCATTTAAATCTGTAGGAGAAGGAAGGCTGGGTAGGGGTCGTCCCCGAAAAGGTTGGAAGGAAGGGGTAAGGGAGGTTTTGTGGGCGAGGGGCTTGGACTTCCAGCAGGTGTGCATGAGCGTGTTTAATAGGAGTGAATGGAGACGAATGGTATTTGGGACCTGACGATCTGTTGGAGTGTGAGCAGGGTAATATTTAGTGAAGGGATTCAGGGAAACCGGTTATTTTTATATAGCCAGACTTGAGTCCTGGAAATAGGAAGTACAATGCCCGCACTTTAAAGGAGGGGTTTTGGGATATTAGCAGTTTGGAGGGATGTGTTGTGTATCTTTATATGTATATGCTTCTAAACTGTTGTGTTCTGAGCACCTCTGCAAAAGCAGTGATTATGTGTGAGTGAGGTGAAAGTATTGAATGATGACGGAAGTATTTTCTTTTTGGGGATTTTCTTTCTTTTTGGGTCACCCTGCCTCGGTGGGAGACGGCCGACTTGTTAAAACAAAAAAAAAAAAAACAGCCATTTCCCACCATCATCATGCACTTCGTCACTGTCTTGCCAGAGGTGCATCTACGCTACAGTTAAAAAACCTGCAACATATCAACACTCCTCCTTCAGAGTGCAGGCACTGTACTTCCCAATTCCAAGACTCAAGTTCGGCTTGCCGGTTTTCCTGAATCCCTTCATGAATGTCACTTGCTCACACTCCAAGAGCACGTCAAGTCAAAAAAGCCATTCGTCTCCACTCGCTCCTATCTAACACGCATGCGCACGCTTGCTGGAAGTCCAAGCCCTTCACACACAAAACCTCCTTTGACCCCAACCCCACCTTCCTTTCCCTACAGGCATATGCACTCTCCAAGTCATTGTTTCATTCCATCGTCTCTAAATGTCTGAACCACTTCCACTACCCTCCTCAGCCTTCTGGATAATAATACTTTTAGTAGCCCTGCACCATCTCCTAATTTCCAAGCAAACTAGTTGTTTATACATTTTCATTTTTTTATTTTGCAGTTCGAGTATGTCAAGCAGTGCATAGACAGTGCCTCAGCCCTGACATTTCTAGAGCTTTCCTGGGGTGGTTCCTGTCGGGGTCGCGTCTATATACGACTGATTGGTGACACAGTGAGAGGTAGGCAGTTTCTGAGGCTGTGCACTGGGGAGATGGGACCTTCATTCTGTAAATCACTCTTCCATCGTGTTTGGTGGAAGGGTCTTCCAGGCGAACATGTGTGGGGAGGTGACCATGATAAAGGCAATGGCAGTGGAGGAACTTCCATTGTGGAAAGCAGTGAATATGTGAAATTATCTGCAGCTGGTCGTAGGTTACCTATCACTGCTGGACTAGTGGCCGGATGCTATGAAAAGGAAAAGGTAAGTTCAATTTTCCGTATATACACCAAGGATAGCAAAAGTGCTGAAGAGGAAGCAGCATTTGGTCAAGTGGAATATGGACTTAACACAATTGAGTCTGCTTTGAATCATAATTACATTAGGGATGTGATTATTTCTGATTGTGGAGTAGTCATTGAATTATAAATGATGCTCACTAATAAGGAAGCTGTAGCTAGGTCTCAGCTTGCCAGTAATATACAGAACTTAGCATAAATTAATTTTATATATATAATGGAGCCTTTTAATGAGGAAATTAATTTCATTTTTGTAATGACAGCAATACCTAAATTATCTGGCTAGGCAAACAAGAAAATTTTTTAGCTCCATCACTGTGAAAATACATGAAATGCAAATTTTTCTATGGCTTTGACAATTATTTAATATTGCTTGCATGATTTTGAAAATTACTATGTTCACTTGGAAGCACAAAACTTAGAGAAATCATGCATTATGAGTATTTATTATTTTCATGGGGAAATTCCTAAGCCCATAGAGGGATGGGGTGTCATACAGTGCCTGGGAAATGGGATGCAATCAGATTTGATCCAAGGGAAGGGAATATAGCTCCAATTCTGTGGATCAAGAGCTCTTCACTAACTTCGAGGCCCCCACTTGAAGGGTGAAATATGAATTCAGTGATCATAAATTCATTTTTTTTATAAAGAACTTATGACAGTATGGTGAAGAACATAAAAGAGACTTCCATTTAGAAATTTCACTAGTAAATCCTGAACAATATCTTGGAAATGCTTTTAATATTTGTACTGTTATCCTATTATTGTAGTTAATTTGTTTTGTTGAATAAAATGTCAACTGATTTTTAAAATTTAATTAATATTTTCATATAGTCGGACTTGAGTCCTGGAAATGGGAAGTACAATGCCTGCACTTTAAAGGAGGGGTTTGGGATATTGGCAGTTTGGAGGGATATGTTGTGTATCTTTATATGTGTATGCTTCTAAACTGTTGTGTTCTGAGCACCTCTGCAAAAACAGTGATAATGTGTGAGTGTGGTGAAAGTGTTGAATGATGATGAAAGTATTTTCTTTTTGGGGATTTTCTTTCTTTTTTGGGTCACCCTGCCTCGGTGGGAGACGGCCGACTTGTTGAAAAAAAAAAATTAATATTGTAAATAAATTTTATTTTATATGCAGTAATATACTGAAGTAATGTGTAGGATTTTTTGAAAAGTACAGTGGAACCCCCTGTATCTGCGGGGGATACATTCCAAGCCCTGTCGCGGATACCGAAAACCATGGATAGTAGTGAGCGCTACATATAAGTAATTTTTTCTTTACACACATATCTGTTGGAGGGGTTTAGGGATGGTGCCTGGAAGCAGTGAGGTGGTGTGATGGTGACCATGTGGGTGGCAGTGTTGGTGGCCTAGTGTGGATGATGGGTGACTGTGTGGGTGGGTGTGCAGTTGGTGTGGGAAGTAATTAGGGTGGCTGGTGGCTACATGACCAGGAGTGTAGATGGCATGTTAGGGTGTGTAGGCTGTGAAAACAGGGGTAAGGCGTGGATGTGGGAGTGGGGCCATGTGGGCTTGATGCTGTGAGGGAGTGGTGTGTGTGAAAGGTGTGCTTGTCAGTGGCCTGGTGTGGGTGGTGATTGGATGATGGGTGACTGGGTAGACGATTATGCGGTTGGTGATAATGAGTGTGGTGGGTAACTAAGTGGGGAAATTGTTGTGTGAGTGGATTGTGTAGGGGTAGGTTGTTGGTTGGGATGGTGTGGGCGAAGGCATGTGGTTGTGGGGGAGTTGTGTGGGTGGAGATTGCTGGTTGGAATGGTGTGGGTGAAGGTGTGGCCATGGTGCAATTATAGGAGCAAAAGGTTTGGGTGAGAGAGGCAGGAATGAGTTAGGGGCATGGTATGGGTGAAGGAATGTGGCTGTGGGGGATTTATAGGGGCAAGTGGTATGGGTGGGGTTGTTGCTGGGTGTACAGCAAGGGTGTAACCATGGGGGGGGGGGAGTTTGAATGAGCATTTGGTGTGGATGAGGTATGTATGGATGTGTATCAGCATAGCCCAAGGTTAGGTGTTAGATGTGTATAAACGTTTTGTATGATATTTTTATCATGTAGTATGTTATATAATTCTGAAAAACATGTGATATCTAAAATAAAATTGTCAATAATAGCATAAAAATACTTGTTACATCATTGCATCATAAGCACTTCTATGCCTCTTTGTAATGATGTCAAATGATTGTAATATACATATTAATAATAATTATTATTATTATATTATTATTATAAGGATGAGGTTAACCATAGAGTTGACGAAGGAAAAAAGGTGAGTGGTGTGTTGAGGTTTTTTTTTTTAGCAAGTCGGCCGTCTCTCACCGAGGCAGGGTGACCCAAAAAGAAAATACTTTCATCATCATTCAACACTCACCTCACTCACACATAATCACTGTTTTTGCAGAGGTGCTCAGAATACAACAGTTTATAAGCATATATGTAATAAAGATACACAACATATCCCTCCAAACTGCCAATACCCTAAAAACATCATCTATGGATGCAAAGAAGGGAATGTATGAAAGTATAGTGGTTCCAACACTCTTATATGGGTGTGAAGCTTGGGTTGTGAATGCAGCAGCGAGGAGGCGGTTGGAGGCAGTGGAGATGTCCTGTCTAAGGGCAGTGTGTGGTGTAAATATTATGCAGAGAATTCAGAGTGTGGAAATTAGGAGAAGGTGTGGAGTTAATAAAATTATTAGTCAGAGGGCTGATGAGGGGTTGTTGATGTGGTTTGGTCATGTAGAGAGAATGGATCAAAGTAGAATGACATGGAGAGCATATAAATCTGTAGGGGAAGGAAGGCGGGGTAGGGGTCGCCCTCGAAAAGGTTGGAGGGAGGGGGTAAAGGAGGTTTTGTGGGCGAGGGGCTTGGACTTCCAGCAAGCGTGTTAGATAGGAGTGAATGGAGACGAATGGTATTTGGGACCTGACAATCTGTTGGAGTGTGAGCAGGGCAATATTTAGTGAAAGGATTCAGGGAAACTGGTTATTTTTTCATAGCCAGACTTGAGTACTGGAAATGGGAAGTACAATGCCTGCACTTTAAAGGAGAGATTTGGGATATTGGCAGTTTGGAGGGATATGTTGTGTATCTTTATACATATATGCTTCTAAACTGTTGTATTCTGGGCACTTCTGGAAAAAGTGATTATGTATGAGTGAGGTAAAAATGTTGAATGATGATGAAAGTATTTTCTTTTTGGGGATTTTCTTTCTTTTTGGGTCACCCTGTCTCGCAGCTGACTTGTTGAAAAAAAAAAAATAAAAATTATTGTATGATTATTATTACTTACTATTATATTATTTTCTTTAGAAACATCACATGGAAATGAGATTTACAACAAAATGTTGCCAGATTGAACTATATTTTGATAAGCTTAATTTGTTTTTCTAATTGTTTCAATGATTATCGTAGCTGCCCACCCAAGTGCAGCTTCCTCCACCTTAATTAAAAAATATCGTAGTTTATTGTTTACATACATACCTATGATAAAGTTTAATTGATAAATTACACACAGTAAGTCATTACCAACATGAAATAATGATAAAATATACACCACTACCACCACCACCACCTACTACCACTACCACCACCCACTACCACCACCACCACCACCCACTACCACCATCACCACCACCACCCCCAACTACCACCACCACCACCACCCATCACCACCACCACCCATCACCACCACTACCACCACCCCCCACCACCCTTCACCACCACCACCCATCACCCCATACCACTAACACTGTTGCTGAGAAGGTGATGACAACTTTTGCAGTGCCAGTTTGCTGCCAGTTACAATTTTCAGTATATTTTTTTATTCATTTCTTTGTTGACTGATCTTAACCATGTTTTATGCACCATTCAAACAGTAAAAAATGGATGAAATTGGACAATAAAATATATGAAACATCAAATTGCAACCTCAATATTTTTGGGCAGAAGTGAACCACAGATAACTGAATCAGCGGATACGGAGGTTCTGCTGTATTATATATAATATATCAGACAATAGCTTGGGTCATGTTGGTTAGTATTGATTCATGATAGTGTGAATGTATTGTGAGTAAAGGGCAGCAATTTTGGGAATGGTGTGTTTTTATATTATGATACAGAATGACCCAGGTTTCCTTAACCCCTTCTCATAATTATGAAAATATTTGTTTTTAAATTTATTTGCCAAGAATCATACTCGACAATAAAGACAGTGGTGGTTTTCTGACAGTCTATCAGTCTTCACATTGTTTACCTTGGCTGTTGTGTCAAGATTTAATTACTGGTCTAATATTTGTTTCCTTACAATTTGTTGGAACTATCTAATTTTAATTATTAGATAGCATATATTAAAATTAAAGTTCATCATGAAGTTAAGACAGAGTATGTTTTAAAACCTAGGATATACTATAAGTGCTGATGCTACATTTTACCTGTTGGCTCAACTGCTTAACAGCACATTTTCCTTATAACAGATTGAGCTTTCTGTAGGGAAATGTCGAGAGGATACATATAAACCTGACACTACCACCTACACCCTCATGCTACTTTGTTGCTTCCAGCCTCCAACCCCCAATTACCTCTCCACTGCCCAGAATCCTCCAGCTCCTCCCTCCACCACTCCATTTCTCAGTCTACCCCTCCCAGGCCAGCAGTCCCCCAATTTTCCCCACACTGAACACCCTCTCCACAACCTCTCCAAACTATCCTGCCTAATGAATCCCATGTACACCTGCACACCCCAATCACTAACTCCTCCTTTATAATCCCATTCAGTTGCAAAGGGTTGCACAACCAAACAGTAAGGCACCTCCTTTTGTTAGCAGAGATGTGGATACCAGATCTTAGACTGATACACATCACTATATCAATCTACAGTTCTAGTATCATTATATTTTACAAATTAAAGACTTCTTTTTTCATGTCTTAAAAGGAAACACACTGATGTTTTATTTATATAAGTTCTCATGTTTTTTCTGAAATATTTAATAGTGTACATTATAAAGAGTAAAATATGCTTGTAATTTTTGTGGTTAAAATATTTATGGAATATAGGACTTCCCAAATTTCCTCCATGTTTAACCATAAAACTGCTAATGGTAAGGCTTAGTTAATGGCTACTGAGCTATTCCCTTGAAAGTCATGAAGGGGATAAAAAAACAAAAAGTTGAAGATATCAGTAAAAAGAAACAGAATTCTTCCTCTGTAAGTCATGCAAGTCGTAAGAGGTGACTAAAATGCCAGGAGCAAGGAGCTAGCAACCCCTTCTCCTGCATATATTGCTAAATTTAAAAAAGAGAAACTTTGGTTTTTCTTTTTGGGCCACCATGTGTCGGTGGGATACGACCGGTTTACTGAAAGAAGATCAGTATGAAATGGTTTGCCCCATCAGAGCATTGTACAGGTCGGCCATCACTAATCCAGCAATCAGTTAACCAGTTCCATCAGTAATCCAGCACTAATTTCGGCTAGCTTAATTTCAAATCTCATCATTATACTGGCTCAGAAGTTGTGCAAATAGTTGTAAATCCACAGCAGCAAACCAGTGGAGGAAAAAGTAGTAATGAAAATGAGGAAGATGTAGCAGAAAGTCTCTGTTGATAGGGTAATTAAGTGTATTCTGACCTAACCACTCTACTCGGGCAAACTTGCTAATCCGGCACACTACACGTCCCAATGATGCCGGATTAGTGATGGCCAGCCTGTATAAAATTAAGGACAAAAATGTTACATCCAGACAGTGGAGCTGCTTTTATAACATGCATTATTTTTCTTTTCTTTTTTATAATGATTGGAAAATTTGTTAGGTTTGATAACAATTTTGAGGGCTATACTAAAGTTGAACAACTTTTAATTACAGTTTGTGTATTATACTTATTAAATAAACAAACCAAATGTAGTCATGTGTAATTATTGAGCAGAAAACCTGCATCAGATGTCTTTGATATTAGTGAATGTACTGGAGGGAGTATATCCACTAATTGTTAAGCATACTTAAAAATATATAGCATATGCCTGATTATAATTTATTGTTTTTTCAATTTATTAAACTGCTGCCCAAAGAATTCAAGAATTAAATTAATATTTATTTAAAAATTAATTCTATTTAACTACTGTATAGCCTCAGTGTGAATATTCAGAAGCTATTTTTTCTTGATTATATCACTGAAGTAAAATAATAACCTTAATTTTTAGTGTATACTATACTGTAATATGTGGCAAATTTTCACCTGTAGTTGCTTCTATAATCCTAGTGCACATTTTCTTTGTCAAAAATATGAAGATTAAGATTCTTTATTTCAGCACGATACAATGTTTGTACAGTGGTGAATAAAAAACAAAACAAAAAAAAAGTTATTTCTTTGCAAAGGTTACAGTGTGTGTTTACATTTCATAATTTGGTTGGTACAAAGAAAGCCACTATCATGCCAGGGCATTTCAGGCAGACTTAACCTAATACTAAAAGACTACTTAAGTCTAGACAGGTAAAGAGTAGTAAATTTCAAATATTCAATATTTTACTCTATTATTAATATGAGGTAGCCAAATTTTTTAGCTAATAAGCATTACAGTTTAATTTAGACAAAACTGATAACAGTATTACAAGTGGTACAATTTATGATACAGACATACATTTTAAGGTATGAATGACATGAATGAATTTTTAGGTATGAATGACATGTAAGTATGCATGCAGAAACCCCCTTAATATGCAGAGCTTTTTGGGCAAACTTAAGACTAACATAAGATTAAAAGGCAATGACCAATCGAGTTGTTACAGTACGCACAATTTCGTAAGTGGTTGTAAATATAAAATTAGGAGTTACACTGATTACAAGAGAATTGAATATCCTATTAGTACATGCTATATGGCTTTTATTGAGTTTAATTGTTTCAAATATTACAGGTTTGATTATGATTAGAGGAAGTGAGGATTCTAGCATATTAACAAAATGTGAACACATTCTATATTGTGAGGATTACAGATATTGAGAGTAAGAATACATGTATATTGTTTTCCATGTTTGTGACAATGAGAATATGGATATATAGTTGTCTCATACCTGATTTTGGGATATGTTAGGGAGAGAATGGATATATAGTTGTCTCATACCTGATTTTGGGATATGTTAGGGAGAGAAGGTGTTTTTTAACGGTAGTTTTACTAAGGTTAACCCAGACATAGGGGTATGTCAAAGAGATTTTTGTGCCTAGTATTATGTCTTTGGGTCCTGTTGCAACTATCAAGAAAGTGCTTCAAGTTGGGATTAATGTTAGAACTTATTGTTTTGTATATGTAGGATGCACAGTAGTAAGAGTGAATGTTTTATATAGTAAGTAGATTTATGTCTTGGAAGAACAAGGGTGAGAGGAGTGTTGTCTAGCAGTGGACTCTGTGATCATTTGCTAAGATATTATTAGCTTGAGGTGATTTGCTGTTGTGGATCCCCAGGCACAAATAGCATAGGTGAGGTAGGGGTAAATCAATGAATAGTATAATGTTATTAATGCTTTTTGTGGTACATAATAACATATCTTTGAGAGGATGCAATCTGTTTTGAACACTTTTGTGTGTTGGATGTAGGTGTTGAATTTCAAGTTTCTGTCAAGGTGCAGACTCAGAAATTCTCCCTCATTTTGTTTAGCAATAAGAGTATTGTTAATCATGATGTTTAGTTGGATATTACTTGCTCTGCTCCCAAAAATAATGTAGAAGGTTGTGTAAATGTTATGTAGAAAGTTTTGTCACTGTTATGCAGGTTTTATCAGTGTTAGTATGAGTTTATTAGTAGTTATCCAGGTTGCTTAGTACTAGTTTCCCATGGTAATTCAGCATGTACAATTGCTTGCTAATTAAGCCAACAATAATTTGAGATGCAGTCAGCTCTGTGGTCAACAAAGTGACCATAGTCAGCCCTATGGTCAACATAGTGACCATAGTCAGCCCTATGGTCAACATAGTGACCATAGTCAGCCCTATGGTCAACATAGTGACTATAGGGCTGAGCATATTGCATTTGGTTTGATCATGTGTGTCTTTCAAACTGCCAGAAGTACTTGCAACCAAGCCTAAGCTTGGCTACTACATCAGTCTGTTCACATCGCAAGTTGCTCCATAAATGTACTTACCTACATTCATGTTATAGTGAGTGATAGATCTCGGGTCTATTACTGCATTCCTGTAACATTCAGTTTCATGATTTACTTTTCTCCTAATACTATTCCTAATGCTAGACACACACACACCAAAGTTATATTCTACATTTTCCTTCCAGTGCTGTATAACCCATATGGGTTTAGCACTTGTAATTATAATATGCAGTGCTGTATGACCCTTGTGGGTTTAGTGCTTAGTATTGGTAATGATAATACTACATACTTCTTCAGGGTACTTCATTTTGGCTAATTTGTCAACTTTAAGTAAGATGTCATTCCATTTCCATGGTGAGATATCAATAAGTAACTTCTTCACATCAGTAAGAGGTATTGACTGACGCAGTCAACTGAAGATTGAGAAATTGACAAATTGGTCATTTTCTTCAAAAATAAATAAATTATATATATATATATATATATTTTTTTTTTTTTTTCAACAAGTCGGCCGTCTCCCACCGAGGCAGGGTGACCCAAAAAAGAAAGAAAATCCCCAAAAAGAAAATACTTTCATCATCATTCAACACTTTCACCACACTCACACATTATCACTGCTTTTGCAGAGGTGCCCAGAATACAACAGTTTAGAAGCATATACATATAAAGATACACAACATATCCCTCCAAACTGCCAATATCCCAAACCACTCCTTTAAAGTGCAGGCATTGTACTTCCCATTTCCAGGACTCAAGTCCGACTATATGAAAATAACCGGTTTCCCTGAATCCCTTCACTAAATATTACCCTGCTCACACTCCAACAGATCGTCAGGTCCCAAGTACCATTCGTCTCCATTCACTCCTATCTAACACGCTCACGCACGCTTGCTGGAAGTCCAAGCCCCTTGCCCACAAAACCTCCTTTACCCCCTCTCTCCAACCCTTTCGAGGACGACCCCTACCCCTCCTTCCTTCCCCTATAGATTTATATGCTTTCCATGTCATTCTACTTTGATCCATTCTCTCTAAATGACCAAACCACCTCAACAACCCCTCTTCTGCCCTCTGACTAATACTTTTATTAACTCCACACCTTCTCCTAATTTCCACACTCCGAATTTTCTGCATAATATTTACACCACACATTGCCCTTAAACAGGACATCTCCACTGCCTCCACCCGTCTCCTCGCTGCTGCATTTACCACCCAAGCTTCACACCCATATAAGAGTGTTGGTACTACTATACTTTCATACATTCCCTTCTTTGCCTCCATAGATAACGTTTTTTGACTCCACATATACCTCAACGCACCACTCACCTTTTTTCCCTCATCAATTCTATGATTAACCTCATCCTTCATAAATCCATCCGCCGACACGTCAACTCCCAAGTATCTGAAAACATTCACTTCTTCCATACTCCTCCTCCCCAATTTGATATCCAATTTTTCTTTATCTAAATCATTTGATACCCTCATCACCTTACTCTTTTCTATGTTTACTTTCAACTTTCTACCTTTACACACATTCCCAAACTCATCCACTAACCTTTGCAATTTTTCTTTAGAATCTCCCATAAGCACAGTATCATCAGCAAAAGTAACTGTGTCAATTCCCATTTTGAATTTGATTCCCCATAATTTAATCCCACCCCTCTCCCGAACACCCTAGCATTTACTTCTTTTACAACCCCATCTATAAATATATTAAACAACCATGGTGACATTACACATCCCTGTCTAAGACCTACTTTTACCGGGAAGTATTCTCCCTCTCTTCTACACACCCTAACCTGAGCCTCACTATCCTCATAAAAACTCTTTACAGCATTTAGTAACTTACCACCTATTCCATATACTTGCAACATCTGCCACATTGCTCCTCTATCCACTCTATCATATGCCTTTTCTAAATCCATAAATGCAATAAAAACTTCCCTACCTTTATCTAAATACTGTTCACATATATGCTTCAATGTAAACACTTGATCTACACATCCCCTACCCACTCTGAAGCCTCCCTGCTCATCTGCAATCCTACATTCTGTCTTACCTCTAATTCTTTCAATTATAACCCAACCGTATACTTTTCCTGGTATACTCAGTAAACTTATTCCTCTATAATTTTTACAATCTCTTTTGTCCCCTTTCCCTTTATATAAAGGGACTATACATGCTCTCTGCCAATCCTTCCCCTCTTTCATACATTTATTAAACAAAAGTACCAACCACTCCAACACTATATCCCACCCTGCTTTTAACATTTCTGTCATGATCCCATCAGTTCCAGCTGCTTTACCCCCTTTCATTCTACGTAATGCTTCACGTACCTCCACCACACTTACATTCTGCTCTTCTTCACTTCTAAAAGATGGTATACCTCCCTGGCCAGTGCATGAAATTACCGCCTCCCTTTCTTCCTTAACATTTAAAAGTTCCTCAAAATATTCTCGCCATCTACCTAATACCTCCATCTCCCCATCTACTAACTCCCCTACTCTGTTTTTAACTGACAAATCCATACTTTCCCTAGGCTTTCTTTACTTGTTTAACTCCAAAATTTTTTCTTATTTTCATATATATATATATATTATATATTTAAATGGAGAGTTAGAGGTATTGGGAAGATGGAGGGAATATTTTGAGGAATTGTTAAATGTTGATGAAGATAGGGAAGCTGTGATTTCGTGTATAGGACAAGGAGGAATAACATCTTGTAGGAGTGAGGAAGAGCCAGTTGTGAGTGTGGGGGAAGTTCGTGAGGCAGTAGGTAAAATGAAAGGGGGTAAGGCAGCCGGGATTGAT